CCACAGCTTCTCTGTCTTCTGGGCAACAATTTCCCTCCCTCTTCGCCTCCTGAGGCGTGGCTTACCCCGGCATCTGACTGTGACACCGCCGCCACGCCTCACCTTCTGTTCTCCTCCCAGCGTTAGTGGGAAGGAAAGAGGCAGACATTCTTCCAAAGTAGTACTTGTGCAGAAACCTTGAACTTTAAAGTTAAAAAGTATTCTAATTGTTTTGTTGCTCTTTGTGTTTCCGTTGTGCCCTCCCCTTCCTGTGGCACAAAATCCAAGTGAGGACCTGGAAGGGCTTTGAAGAAAAGGAAGGGGGGGGAAAACTTGATAATTCATACAAGGCCAGATTATAAACTTTAAAGGCCCTAGAATCTACATTAAAAAAATAAAAAATAAAAAAGGCATGACATTTCATATTCAGTAATCCAAAATAAAAACAGCATTTAATAAAATAGCATTAACTGTAAAATAAATATAAAGAACCCCAAGGAGTCCCGAGTTTTTCCCCATGCTTAAAAAGGAAAAAAAAAAAAAAAATCAGATTCCTTCAAGCAACACGCTTAGGTATCACTGCTCCACTGGCACGCTTAGCCCTCACCGAGCCGGCCAGGTGTGCGGCTGACATAGCACACCCACCTGCACACGCCCGGGGTTACCCGTCACCACGCTCCATGATTGATACTGGGCTTGCTGTGTTGAAATGCTGTCTCCACACAAGAGCCAAATGGAGAGATCACTGAAAGCAGTCAGAGGTAGCTGAAGGAAGGTTGATCTTGGTGGAATAGGTTTTGTCTTCCTGGTCACCAGAGCTGGATCTGGGAGAGCCGGCCCATTGTTAGATGTATTGGTTTGCTACTGCTCCGTCATGAACCGCTCCAGAGTCCCATGGCATCCAGCAACAGGCAGTTGTTACCACGCTCACAGGCTTGCTGACCAGCTAGGGCCCTTGTGCGTCAGTCAGGCTGTGCGAGGTTGGTGTGGGCTCTGCTCTTTCTTTTATTCTTCTGGGATCTGTGGGCAAACCAAGGCATGTTTTTCTCATGGTAATGGCAGAAGTGAGAGGGGTGAGCAGAAATATATGAGCCTGGGCTCAGAAACGGTACCATCCGTCACCCCTACCCACATTCCATTGGCCGAGGCATTACGTGACCAAGCCCAACGTCAGTGGGGTGTGGACATATTCAGCTTGAATGGAACTGCTGAGTCACATGGCAAAGTGTGTGGATTTAGAGAGCAGGGAAGAATGGAGACAATAATGGAACTTCTATTTTGGTTTTGGCATTTACTACTGAATCCTGGTAGTAATGGAAGAACATGTCATTTGAGTTGTGACTGATAGGAAGGAAAAACTGGCTGATGTCTCTTCTGATAGTATGGAAGTCCTTTTGAAAGTTTAGTTTATAAACAAAGATCCATAATGTCCAAGACAATGTATATCTGGTTCACTTCATGTGTTTAGTAAAAATTTTTTTATTAAATGGTGTAAGAATATATGCATATGTATAGTTATGTGTCTGCATATAGACATAAAGGGTAAAAAAGTTAAATATATCTCCTTATAAAGGGGTAAAAGTGTAATAAAAATACCAAATTGGAGTCGAGACAGGGGTTCTAGTCCTTACCCTGCTTATTAATTCTTCTGCAACCTTGTGCAAATCATTTTTCAATGGGCCTCAATTTCTTCATTTGTGACATGGGGGGATTGAATTAGATTTTCTATTAGGAGCTCCAAATTTCAGTTTCCTAAGATGCTGGGATATAGTCACTTCAGCTGCTGACAGGTCCCATTTCTATTGGCTAGACAGACCGACTCTCTACCTCTGCACTCCCAGCCTCCACCTGACGAGCCGCTCAGAGCATCTCCCTCACTAATGTGGATGAGTCAGAGCACTGAGGTGCAACCTGGACAGGCCACCGGGAGTTATGAACACTCACAACCAGGCTACAACCTGAGGGGGGTCATATGGCTGGAATCAGGATAACTGGTTATGACAACCCTTTCTTCTGAGGGCCTATGGATGTCACTGTCACCAAGCTCCCAGTAGGTTAGTAGTCAGCTTTCTTTTACTTTGCAAGTAATTTATTCTTCTAGATGCTTGTAAAATTGTTTATCCTTGACACACAGTACTTTTTACAGAATGTGCCTAGGTGTATGCCTTTGTCCATAACTCCTGCCTACAACTTAGTGGGTCCTTTTAATCTGCAGACTTGTGTTTTTTTCAAACTAGAAATTTCCCTCATTTTATTTCTAATTACTTCCTCTCCTCACATTATGTCTTCTCCTCTAGCATCTCATCTACTCCCTCATTATTTCAATTTCTTTGTCCCGCTGCTTTGAATGTCGATGATCCCTTCCACTTGATCTTCCAGCCTACAAATATAGTTTACAGTACTAGACCATCTTCCATTTTTTCCATCAAATTTTGAAATTTAAAACTAAAATTTTCTTTTAGTTCCCCCAACAAAAGTTGTGTCTTGTTTTTGCTATTTTGGTCTTTGAAGGGGTTTCCTGTGGCAGCTCATTTTCACCAGAGTCTCGTGCTGGTGTTAGTCCAGAAACAGTTGCTGGGCTGTTCCAGGTGCAAGACCATGGAGGAAAACACGAGTGGAATCCCTGCTCTCTTGGGAGCTCACACCTGTTATAGGTTTTTTTTTTGCATTCCTCTCTGATTGGATTTCCTCAGGCACTTTCTTTTGCTTACCCTTGGCTCTGTCCACCAAGAAGTGGAGTGGACCCCCATGTAGCAGCAAACCCATGGTTGTAGGAGGCCGGTAGACTGCATCTATGGGCCAGCACTGCACTAAGCAAGATGCTGTCAGAAACAGTTCTTTCCAGTCAAGAGGACGCAGGTGGCCCTCTGAGATGCAGGCATGTGCAGGAGCGCGCGCGCGCACGCACACACACACACACACACACACACACACACACACAGTACCAAGCCTCCCCTCTATTGCTCCTTGCTCCCACCTGCCTTAAAGGAGAAAACACCCTGCACCTGTCCCCTTCTCAGGAGACCTAAGCAGAGCCTGTGGTCAGTGCTTCCAGGCCTTGCCTGACTGGAACCAGCAGTCACTGTGTTCAGAAGAGGTAGATGAATGGGAGTTGCAAGAACATTAAAGGTGTCCTCAGGCTGCCATCTTTGCCCTCCAGTGCCTTCTTTGCTATTTCACAGTCCCCAGGGGCTCCTTTAGGAAGCTTTTCCTAGGTATGACTCACAGGAGAATGAGTGAGTTGGGACTGAGATTACAGGCCTATGCTGGCCACAGGCTGGCTGTGAGCAGATCCCTTTCCTATCCCGGCTCTTTATTTCTGCAGGTTAAAGTAAAAGGCACCCCATCGGGCTTCTTAGGTTTCCCCAGCACTACAAATTGCCTGGCTCATGCTCTACTAAATGCCTGGAGTGCTGGAAGATGCCAGTTCTCCACTCCATTAGCTCTACAGATGTTCTGGGCACCTGGCGGGAACCATTCCTAGTTCTTCAGTAGGCCAGGTGCTATAATGCTCAGCGCTCATGCTCTGCAAATATTCCTTGACTGAGACAGGGCTGAACCATCTAATGCCTCTGACGTACTTCTATGCCGAATAGCACCTTCATAGGCCTGAGACAGCCCATTCTCCGTCTGAATCAGTTTGTGCTCCAAAGTTTTGACTCCCGGCCTGCCTGGGCTTTGCTTACACAAGAGGTCTACAACATCAATAGCACCTGGGCTCCTGCGAGAAATGTGGATTTCCAGGCCACACACCAAATCTGCTAAAGCAGGTTCTCTGACAGCAGGGCTCAGGGATTCTGCTTTTTAAATATGCAACAAGGGCCATGTGACTGACGGCCCTCTGATCTCCCTTCAAGTTTGATTGGGTCGTGGGTGAGCTTCAATAACAGGCATTGCCAGTCCTGGTATGGCAGCTGACACTTACCAGGGGTTGGTGACTCAGCACGAGGGAGGCAGACCCCGACTGTCCCATTGCAGAAGAAAATGTGACTAACAGTGCCGTGGTGCTGGGCGGTCCCTGCACAGCATCCCTGCTGCCCGAGAGCGTGTCAGGGATGCGTCTTCCAGCCCTAGCCTAGAATTATCCAGTCAGAAACGCGGGGGATGGGTCATGTGATGCACGCTTTAGTGTGACGACCACTGACCTCCTAAGTCCATTAAGTGGCCACTTGACACCCCAGCACATCACTCCAAAGGGCTCTCAGCCTCAAGGTCACCAAGACTTTGAAGACATCTAATTGGTTCCTACAGGCTCTGGGTCACTGGAAGGGCTGTCACCCTGAGGACACCTGCTGCGGTGGGTAGGAAGGGTCGCGACAGGAAAGGCAGATGGGGAGTGTGCGGCGGAAGCAGAGCCGAGCCTTCACGTGCCGCTGCCACCCTGGCCCTGCTGACAGGGCTCCGAAGGCAGAGCGGGGCCATTTCCAAAGGATCACCTGAGCCCACACCCTCGACGCTCCTCCCTCCAGGACGCTCCCTGAACAGACCAAGCAATATAAACGTGGGGAGTCTGTCAGTGCTGGAGAACAGAGATCACACGAAACTCGAGGAATTTCTGGGAAATAGTGCATTTGGGTGAGGAGGCAGCCTAACTGGTTATGCCCCACGTGTGACGGTGGGGCCGTGGGGAAGGTGGATGTCCCTGGCCCCACAGAATTGTGGTGGAAACCTAGAGGTGGGGACGACGTCAGCTCTGTTGCTGAGCTCTTCTCCTTACTTCTACTGGAGGCTGACTTCTGTCAACGACAGTCGGGACAATTACGTAGGATCCTGAAACCAACCTCCACACGGAACCTTAGCCCTCCTGAAGGAGCCGCTTGTCCACTTGTAATCCGAGTCAGCTGCTGCTCGGGGGAAGCGATGAGCCAGAGCGCCCTCTGTTGAAGTGAAGCCAGGTCCTGGTTTCAGGGGTCCGGCTGTAGGCATGTTCCCGCAGCCCCACCTCGCTCCTTGGTGAGCGAGCAATGGCAGCCCCGGAACCAGCAGCACTCGGATAACTGAACTACCACTTTTAAGAGGAGAACAACTAATATTTTATTATTGTTTAGGCATCACAGTAGACACAGAACAGAGGTCATGTGAAATGTACTTTGATGTCCTAAAATTTTTGTGTCATAGTAACTAAAAGAAAAAGTGTGATCTAGAGATGGGGGGATCCTCAGATGTGGAAGACTTCAACACAGATGGACTGGGACTGCCTGGCCAACGTCAGTCTCACTAACAGAATGCTCGAAACCAACTTATCACAGCACTAATGCAGTGATTACAGCGCTCAGTGTTTCCTCAACACTGTGGTAACTCTAGAAGTCATTCCAACAAAGGACCCTTGGAAGAATCCAAACAGTATTAAAGGCTGCTCATTATTTCCAGCCAATGCATTTCAGGAGACAACAGATCTTCACGGCCTTTGCAAAATGCATCTGAGACACTCAAACGCCAAGTCGACTCAAATAAGCTTCCCAGGCAGCTTTTCTGTACATCTCAGCTGCTTCCAGACGATTCGCTGATGTTAGTATGCCCCGACCTACAATGATGATATCAGAGCCTCGTTTGCCAATAACTTCTTGTGGGCTGTTGTACTGCTGGCCGAGATTATCACCTGCAAAAACAAAGGTTATTATTTAACACGATATAAAACATCAGAAAACCTGTCACATGACTTTACTGGAAATGTATCTAACCAGCTTTAATTTTTTTTTTTAATTATTGATTTTTAGAGAAAGAGAAAGGGAGAAGAGAGAGAGAGAGAGAGAGAAACATCAATGAGAACATCGACTGGCTGTCTCCTGCTTGGCCCCCACTGAGGATCAGGCCCACAACCTGGGCATGTGTCCTGACCGGAAATTGAACTGGTGACCTCTTGGTGCATGGGTTGACGCTCAGCCACTGAGCCACACCAGCTGGGCTCTCATTGTGGTCTTGATTTGTAATTTCCCTGATGACTAGTGATGTTGAGCATCTTTTTATGTACCTGTTGGCCATATGTATATCTTCTTTGGAAAAATGTCTTTTCAGATCTGCCCATTTTTAAATCAGATTGTTTGCTATTGAGTTGAACAAATTCTTTAATTTTTTTTTTTTATCCTCACCCGAGGACATTTTTTTGTTCAAATAGAATGGGAGGGGGAGAGAGAGGAAGATAGAGAGAACCATTGACGTGAAAGGGACACATCGAGTGGCTGCCACCCGCACGATCAACCAGGGCCAGGGACAAACTGCAACTGAGGTACGCGCCCTTAGCGGGAACCGAACCTGGGTCTCTCTGGACCGCAGGCTGACGCTCTAACTGCTGAGCCAAACTGGCCAGGGCTGAACAAATTCTTTATATATTTTAGATATTAACCCCTAATCAGACACATAATTGCAAATATTTTTTCCCATTCAGTAGGTTGCCTTTTCATTTTGTTAATGATTTCCTTTGCTGCACAGGACCTTGTTTGATATAGTCACACTTGTTTAATTTTGCTTTTGTTGTTTTTGCTTTTTGGTGTTAGATTTTAAAAAATTATTGCCGCCCTGGCCGGTTTGGCTCAGCAGTTAGAGCGTCGGCCTGCGGTCCGGAGAGACCCGGGTTTGGTTCCCGCTAAGGGCATGTACTTCGGTTGCAGTTTGTCCCCGGCCCTGGTTGGTCATGCGGGTGGCAGCCACTCGATGTGTCCCTTTCACATCGATGTTTCTCTCTCTCTCTCTCTCCCTCCCACTCTATCTGTACAAAAAATAGAAAAATGTCCTTGGGTGAGGATGAAAAAAAAATTATTGCCAAGACCTATGTCGAGCTTACCACCTATGTTTTCTTCTAGGAGTTTTATGGTTTCAGGTCTTACATTCAAATCTTTTATCTATTTTGTGTTAATTTTTGTGCATGGTATAAGATAGTGATCCCATTTCATTCTTTTGCATGTGGCTGTCCAGTTTTCCCAAACACATTTTATTGAAGAAACTGTCTTTTTCCCATTGTATATTCTAGGCTCCTTTGTTATAAATTAATTGACCATACATATATGGGTTTACACCGGAACTCTATTCTGTTCCTTTCACCGATGTCTGTTTTTATGCCAATACCATACTGTTTTGATTACTATAGCTTTGTAATATAGTGTGAAATCAATAAGTGTGATGCCTCCAGCTTGGTTATTCTTTCTCAAAATTGCTTTGGCTATTCAGGGTCTTTTGTGGTTCCATACAAATTTTAGGATTGTTCGTTCTTGTTTCTGTGAAAAATGCCATTGGAATTTTGACAGGGATTGCATTGACTCTGTAGACTGCTTTGGGTAGTTTGGACATTTTAATGATACTAATTCTCCAAGTCCACAAGCACAGAAAATCTTTTCATATATTTGTCTTCTTCAATTTCTTTCATCAGTGTCTTACAGTTTTCAGTGTACAGGTCTTTCACCTCCTTGGTTCAATTTATTGCTAGGTATTTTTTTTTTTTTAACTTTTTCGTAATCCTCACCCAAGGATATTTTTCTATTTTTCTTCAGATAGAGTGGGAGAAAGAGAGAGAAACATCGACGTGAGAGGGACACATCGACTAGTTGCCTCCTGCATGACCCTGACTAGGGCTGGGAATGAACTGCAACCAAGAAACATGCCCTTGGGCCCTGGCCGGTTTGGCTCAGCAGTTAGAGCGTCAGCCTGCGGCCCAGAGAGACCCGGGTTTGGTTCCCGCTAAGGGCATGTACCTCGGTTGCAGTTTGTCCCCGGCCCTGGTTGGGTCGTGTGGGTGGCAGCCACTCGATGTGTCCCTTTCACGTCGATGTTTCTCTCTCTCTCTCTCCCTCCCACTCTATCTGAACAAAATATCAAAAAATGTCCTCGGGTGAGGATAAAAAAAAAAAAGAAACATGCCCTTGGCCGGAATTGAACTCGCGACTCATTGGTCTGCACGCCGATACTCTACTGCTGAGCCAAACCGGCCAGGGCAAGGTATTTTATTATTTTTGATGCAACTGTTAATAAGACTCTTCTCTTAATTTCTCTTTCTGGTAGTTTGTTATTGAATAGAAACGCAACAGATTTTTGTATATTGTCTTTGTATCTGTCAAATTTACTGAATTATTTTAGTAATTAAAATAGTTTGTTGGCTAAATCTTTAGGATCTTCTGTGTATAATATCATGTCATCTGTAAACAGTGACAATGTTGCTTGTACCTGTATAATTTGGATGTCTTTTCTTGACTAGTTTTTCTAGTGCAGCGGTTCTCAACCTGTGGGTTGCGACCCCTTGGGGGATTGAACAACCCTTTCACAGGGGTCGCCTAAGACCATCGGAAAACACACATTTCTAATGGTGTTAGGAACCAAGACACCGTTCCTCTATCCGTCTCCAGGCAGGTCTGCCCACATACAACATGAGGAACTGCATTAAGGGTCGCGGCATTAGGAAGGTTGAGAACCACTGCTCTAGTAGGACTTCCAATACTATGCTGAATAAATTGGTGAGAGTGGGCCTCCTTGTCTTATTCCTGATCTCAGGAAAAAAGCTTTCAGCTTTTCAGCATTGAGTATGATGTGTTAGCTGTGGGCTTGTCGTTTATGGCCTTTATTATGTTGAGGTACTTCCCCTCTACTCACTTTGCTGAATCTCTATCATGAATAAATGTGGAATTTTGTCAACATTTTCTGCATCTATTGGTATGATCAGATGACTTTTATCCTTCATTTTGTTAATGTGGTGTATTACATTGACTGATTTGTAGAGTTAAACCATCCTTGCATGTCTAGGATAAATCTCACTTGATCATGGTGTATGATCATTTTAATGTATTTTTTTAGTTCATCTGCTAATACTTTGTTGAGGATTTTCGCATCTATGTTCATCAGGATATTGAACTGTAATTTTCTTTCCTCATGGTATCCTTGTCTGGTTTTGGTATCAGGGTAATGGTGGCCTGGTAAAATGAATTTGAAAGCATTCCATCTTTTTCTATTTTTTAGAAGGACTGGTATTAATCCATCTTTGAACATTAGAAATTACCAGTAAAGCTGTCTGTTCCTGGGTTTTTATTTGTTGGGAGTTTTTTCTGTCTTTTTTTTTTAGTGACTCAATCTCCTTACTAGTAATCAGTGTATTCAGTTTCTATTTCTTCATGAATCAGTCTTGGTTGGCTGTATGTTTCTAGGAGTTTACTAATTTCTTATAGGTTGTCAATTCTTTGTAATTCTGTGGTATCAGAGCTACATCTCCTCTTTCATTTCTGATTTTGAGTCCTCCCTCCATTTTTCTTGGTGAGTCTAGCTAAAGGTTCACATCTTTTCAAAAACCAGTTCTTAGTTTCAGTGATTTTTTTCCCTATTGTCTATTAGTCTCTATTCCATTTATTTCTGCTCTGATCTTTATTTCCTTCTAGTAACTTTGGGCTTTGTTTGTTCTTCTAGTTCCTTAAGGTACAATATTAAGGTGTTTGAGATTTTTCTTTGTTTCTTAAAGTAGAAATTTATCACTCTGAATTTCCCTCTTAGCACTGTTTTTGCCACATCCTATAAATTATGGTATGCTGTATTTCCGGTTTTATTTGTCTCAAGATCTCTCTCTCTTTTACTTTTATTTATTAAGGTTTTTCTCTTTTGATTTCTTCTTGGACCCACAGTTGTTCAGTAGCATGTTGTTTAATGTCCACATATTTGTAAATATTTCAGTTTTCTTCTTGTAACTGATTTCTAGTTTCATACCATTGTGGTTGGAAAAGACGCTTGATATGATTTCAATCTTCTTACATTTATTAAGACTTGTTTTATGGCCTAACATGATCTATCCTAGAGAATGTTACATGTGCACTTGAAGAATGTGTGTCTTTTGTTGCTTTTGGACGGAATATTTGGTATATATCTGTTTTAACATGTCATTTAAGTAAAGCCAATGTTTCCTTATTGATTTTCTCTCTAGGTGATCTACCTGTGATATAAGTGGGTATTAAAGTCCCTTACAGCCCTGGCCGGTTTGGCTCAGCGGTTAGAGTGTTGGCCTGTGGTCCAGAGAGGCCCAGGTTCGGTTCCCGTAAGGGCATGTACCTCGGTTGCAGTTTGTCCCGTTGGTTGTGTGGGTGGCAGCCACTCGATGTGTCCCTTTCGCTTCAATGTTTCTCTCTCTCTCTCTCCCCCCCCCCTCCAGCTCTGTCTGAACAAAAAAATGGAAAAATGTCCTCGGGTGAGGATAAAAATAAATAAATAAATAAATAAATAAATAAATAAATAAAGTCCCTTACAACAAGTCTGTTAATATTTGCTTTATATATAGGGTGGAGCAAAAGTAGGTTTACAGTTATTCATATGGAAAATAATACAATAATAAGTAATAATGCAGGAATAAACTGTTTCATATACTCACAACTGTAAACCTACTTTTGTCCCACCTGTATCAGCAAGCTGTAGCGAGGCAGAGGGAGAGCACAAAGATGGAATTCATCAGCTTATGTTCCCAGAGAATAGCTCTGTACGCCTCAGGTGTGTGCCAAACTGAAGCTGGCCCTCAGGCTCAAGCCCTAGCACAAATAAATAGGCTTCTTTCATAAAAAGACTGGGGCACATTTCAGTATGCTATCTGTGCAATGCCCTGGGGGTGGTAACATTCTAAGAATGTCACTCCAATTGTTAAGAGTCCTGTGGGACTCAGCAATGCAAGCCCCACCTGACCACTAGAGCCAGGTGACTAAGGGATGTCAGCTGCAAAGCACTGGTGTAAGAACTTCCCTCCAGGAGATACTAGAGCTCTGGAACACAGCAGAGGCAGGGCACACAGAGAGCACCTGCCTTTTGAGGTCTCTGGAAAGCCCTTGGATGTGGGTTTAATTAGAGGCCTGCCTCTCAGGCTGCAATTAAGATAATCAGCTAATAGGCATTTTTCACAGAAAGATGGAGTCAGTTGCCTCTTGCTGTGTCCTGTGGTGGCAACTGTTTAAGAACTTTTTCTCTATTGGTTACAGTAGGCCTAATCCATAAAGAAGGAAAGAGATGGAAGTAGGCTAGAATAAACTCCTATACTCGTGATTAGCCAACCTTTCTTGTACAACTCAGGAAAAACACCCATAGGATATTTAAATATGTATATTTTTATAACCTAGATTACTCTTCTATTGATTAGGGACTATCAATCAGTGAGAAAATCTGCACTGCTTTTTAGCCACTACAAATGTATTCCTCAGACTGCTGAAAGTGTTACATGTTCAAATACACTTGGGAGACCATGTATCTCCACACTGGAGTCACAATAGACATTAGCACATCAAAGGTCTGCCAAGTCCTTTAACAAGGAAACAACCATTTGATTTTGTTTAGCCCAGTGCATTCTTTCCCAAGCACCAAACACCTTTTTTGGCAGCATATTCAGAACATCAGCTGGGAAACACAACTAAAAAAGTTGGTACATTTCAATGAAAAGCAGCTCTCTAAATTTTCATCCTAAAATTAGACTGTAAGCTATTTTGCATACCTAAGTCAGTATCACTAGGCCAAAGGGGTCATTCATTACTGTTCTAGATAAACAAGCTTTCTCTTTAGCAACTTTATAACACACAACATTTCTTTCACCTTGCCCCGCTGACTTGCGTAAAGAAGTATATTAGAACTATGACCAATGAATGAACAGACTTACCTCCTGCTTCTAACTGAACTCCTGGAGTCAAGTGAAGAAATTCTGGTTTCATGCTTACTCGTGAGCCAGAAATAAAACCAATCACAAATTCAGAATGCTCTTCAGCCATTCTAACCTAAATGGAATGTAACAGAACAGATTACAAGAAAGCAGTTAATCACACAGAATAATAGGTCCACAAGTAAAAAATTAACTAGGAAGAAACTTTGCTGTTTTATAGATGTCTTTTCTCATTTCATATTAAACTCATTATATGCAAAACAGGCAATCTTGGCTATGAATCTACATACTTGCTCTATTAACCCTCTCTCCCTCTCCCAATTAACCGTACCCTAAAAACACTGAAAATCCTATTTGATGTGTATCTACAATCCAGATGCTATATAATTACTTATTTGTAATAATGCTTGGGGATCCACCTACTTCCAAAAAGGATATGAGGAAAGTACTCTAGAATACATTTCTAAAGGGCATAAAACCACACTGAAAACCTACTGCTTATTTACACAGGGTATTCCATATTCAAGGAGAGCTCTGTTGCCAAGAGCTAAAAAAATCTCAACTCGACAACTTTCCCTCTTCTTTAACATTTGCTTATAATTGGTCTCCACAATTTCTATACCACTGTCCAACATTCAAAGAAGTTTGTCTAGGTCTGTCTGACTTCCTAGTTTGGCTCTTCCCAAGGACGTACGCAGTTCTGTACTACCACCTACCAGAAAGCAATGCCTTGTCCTTGAGCCAGACCCAGACTCCCGGAATGCCTTATGGAGCCTCTGTTCTTATGAGAGCTGGGAAATCAGACATTTATGGACAGGCAGTTCAGGGGTGGGTTTAAAACCTGCTCCTAGGGCCAGGTGAATTCTTCACAGTTCCACAGACAGTATTTGAAATAATATGAAAAAATAAATTCCCAGGTAAAAATTAAAATGTTGTTAAAGTAAAAATTTCAGTTACTTTTAAAAGTAATAGTCTTTAAGACATCTGTAAAGGTGATCTATTCAACTCTCTAGGTGACTAACCAACTACGAAACTTTTTAACTAGGTAATTATCCTCTCTCCTTTTATCCTGACATGCAGTTGTGGGTGCTGGTATTAATGTGTAGGGTGTTATAAGAATGAGGGCATTACTAGAGGAAACAAAGTGTCTGGACTCTAGCTAAGAGCTTTCCCATACAATACCAATCAATAAAGAAAAGCCACTTCATGTGGGCTGCTGTCTTGAGAATGCATCTCTGTGGGGTCTGGGAAGAAGCTCTTCAGTTTCAACTGAGGTGAGATGAAAAACAACAATTCTATCTTAAAGGCCAAATGTTTATCCGACCAAATATCTGTTTCAATGTTTCTCTCTTAAGCATACAATTCAATTCTTTTAAGTGTCCACTACAAGATATAAAATGCTATGAACTATCAGGGAACTCTAGCCAGTTCGTATTAATATACTGTCACCTAAGAACAGCTGATTTTTTTTGTAAGCAGAGTTCCATAGACCCCAAATTCAGACATTTTCTTCCTCTGGAACACGCAGTGCACAGCGCAGTCCTTACCGCTGCTTTAGTGTAGTTCCCAGTGGCCAAGGAGCCGGCGGAGCTCATTTCTGCAACGAGCAGGCACCCCCGGTGCAAAGGCAGCCCGACTTCCTGCAGGCCTTTCACAACTCCCGAGCCTGGCACCACATGAGCATTTACTAGATCTGCCCAGGAAGCTATTTTAAAGACACCACCTAGGAAGGGAGAAAAAAGACACTTGTCAAATTTCACACAAAAACCTTATGAAATAATCTCTTAGTAACATGTTAATGAAATAGTGAAACACTTCAGGAATTTTCGTGTTTCAGTGGACTACTTGTGGTTCTAAATGTGAAAATTTATCTGTCTACCTTGTAGCTAGTTGAGAGATCACAATAAGAAAAAACTCTTGCAAGTTCTGTACTTAGTTTACAAGCAACACTAAGACTATTTTTCCTTGCAGCCTGAAGCCTGTGATCACCAACATAACTTGTGGAATTAGAAATGGACCCCAGTGAAGATGGTGCTTATGGAGGTCAAAGATATCAACATTCGGAAATTCCTTTGAGGATGACCAATTTTCATTCTGCAGGGATTTCATGGCAACTTGACCATTTCTCAAACCTTCTACTTGTTCCCAGGTCTGTCTCTTTCAGTCTTTAAATTTCAATAGGCAATTGTATTCTTTTTTTTTTTAATCCTCACCTGAGAATATTTTTCTATTTATCTTCAGAGTAGGAGGGAGAGAGAGGGAGAGAAAAGGAGAGAGAGAGGAACATCTATGTGAGAGAGACACATTGACTGGTTGCCTCCCACACGACCCCAATCAGAGCCAGGGATGAACCACAACCAAGGTACATACCCTTGACTGGAATCGAACCCACAACTCTTTGGTCTGTGGGCTGACGCTCTACCACTGAGCCAAACCAGCCAGGGCAGCATTTGTATTCATTGTAAAAGCTGACTGCAATAACCCGAATAGATTTTTGGAAAGATTATATGTAAACCTCTAGAAAGTTTCTATAACTTTTACTTCACTCAATAAACTAAGCAGGACATGTTAGGCACATAAAAAAAAAAAAAAAATCACTAATAGACAAATCTATCCTAAAGAAACAGCTTAAGAATATGCAGAAATTACTTTTAAAAAGATGCCTATCAATGTTATAAAATAAAAGGTTACATGAAAAAAAGTCTTAGAGTCCTGGCTGGTTTGGTTCAGCAGTTAGTGCGTCAGCCCATGGACCAAAGAGTCACGGGTTCAATTCCAGTGAGGAGCATGTACCTCGGTTGTGGTTTGGTCCCCAGCCCTGGTCAAGGTCATGCAGAAAGCAACTGATTGATGTTTCTTTGTTTGTTTCTTTGTTTCTTTCTCTCTCTCTCTCTCTCCCCCCCTCCCTCCCTCTCTCTCCCCCACTCTATCTGAAGATAAATGGAAAAATACCCTCGGGTAAGGATTAAAAAAAAATAAAAAGCTATGTACAATATGGCAGAAATTTGTATAGAATAGGTAGAAAATTAATCAATTTTTTTTCAACCAACATATGCTCTACTTTGAGTTCCTATTTAATAGAAAAAAAATGTAAATGAACGTATATCATCAACAAATTTTTTGCTAAAAGTAAATTTTACAACTTTATACTACTTTTTCATTGTTTTATGTTTCTGGAATTTTCATTTATCAAATCTCAGAACTCACTGTGTTCTGCCAGGGCCAACTTCTGTCATTTTTGCTTCCCTAAAACCTATGTCCCAGTCTTCTGGCATCGGCACACCCACTTTCTTTAGGGGAACTAAGTACCCTTGACCAGATCTCAGTTTAAGTTTACACAGAGTTAATCACCTCACATTACCAGGGGTGGGGGCATAGTACCCAGGCATTACCTATACTTCTAGCTGTTCTATACCTAAAGGTATTCTATACCCAGTGACTGAATTCAGGTAGGCATGAGAAGTGTGCCTACCTGAGGAAGAAGAAGGAAGAAAGCAGAGGTGATAGAAGAGAAAGCAAGTCCAAAAGACATCACTTGAGCTTCTGGATCCAACCATGCTTGACAGCCTGTTTCAGTGACGTGAGCCAATGTATTTCTTTTTTTTCTTCAGCCAGTTTAAGCTAGATTTCTTTCTTGTAGATTCCTGAAAAATACTTACCTTCATACTGCTTTTTTACTGTGTTTCCTATATCTGCAAATTTCCTGTCTTCAAATATTAAGAAGTCATGGTGTTTTGCCAGAGTTGTTAACTTCTTCATCACATCCAGAGTAAAATCATTCAAAATATCCACATGAGTCTTAAGCATGCAAATGCTGGGGCCTAAAGCATCTGCTAGCTGCAACAGCTCTCTGGACTCTGAAATGTCAGCAGACAGACACAGATTGGTCTCCTTCTTTTGCATAAGCCTGAGAAGCTTTGATGCAACTGGGTGGATCCTGGGCAACTCTGCCCGTGCACCAAAGCTGAGTTCACTGGGCGTTTTCTTTATAGATGGGAGAGAACCATTATGATCAGCTGCCACAAAAACATTCTCCTGAATAAATCTCTTCACTTTCTCGACCATTTCAGCATCAATTTTTTTCTGTTGCTCAAGAATCTCCAGCACTTTGGACAGTGTACACACCGAGTGGAGACGAATCCCATGTGCCTGCAGCGTGTCCTTGCCTCCTTGCTCCCTGTCCAGCAGCACTATGACATCAGTGACCTTCAAGCCCTCCTTCTGAAGAACGTCCACAGTTTCCAAAACACTAGATCCACTGGTAACGACATCTTCAATGATCAAACAGTTTTCTCCTGGATTAATAGCTCCTTCTACAAGACGTTTAGTACCTGGACAAGAAAGAATTATATTGATTCCAATTTAATATTTCATTCAACTCAAGATGTATCTTACAAAATAAATCTGGCATGTATTTATAAAGAGGTGGATAATCTAAATCTTATTTCCTGATAATCTACTTCGGAGCTACTTTATTTCTGATGAATCTTCAATATGCTATAATTACTGTTTTACTCATTGTCTCTCTATCTCAAAATTATTAGTTATAGATACAGAATATTTACAGTAAAACTAGCAAATTATTTTACAATGTAAATAAAAACCACTTAACATGTTTATGATCAAAGTTTCAAATATGGGGTTTCTTAAAGCAAGATCACCTAGATCAAGGACTGTGATGAAACAAAGAATATCACAATGAAATCATTCCGTTGGTCCATCAACAAACCAGTTCATTACTCAATCGCAGCCATAAAACTGGTCTTTGCATATATAGATTCAGGAGGAAAAATATTCAGCAACCATTCAGACCAATCACTACAACTTTATAAATTATATAATGCAAAGTGACTAAATACACTTTCCCATTCCAACTCCAAGATAGACTATTTTTAGATAATATACAAAATGTACATAACTCAGGCTGTAGTTTATAGATTCATTTTTAGAGACTCATTTTCTTATTTTTTACTACCAAATTTGTCTTATTTTGACGCAGAAAAGAACCGGTGAACACTTTGCCCAGGTTTTGAGCTTTACCACAGGTACCATCTTTGCCCTTTCCCATTCCTTTTCTCTGAACCCCTTTTCTCCCCCGTGAAGAACCAGCAAGTTTAATTGACTCAGCTTGAACTAGAACACAAGTCTGCAAGTATTTATAGGCATAGTTAAAAATTAACAATCTTATTTTAAGAAATATTTTTGAAGACATATAATAAGAAAATGGAAATAATAGTTTCCTTATGGGCAGAGATTCATATAGATCAGCGATTTTCAATCTGTGGGTCACGACCCCTTTAGGGGTCGAACAACCCTTTCACAGGGGTCGCCTAAGACAAAATAGTAGCAAAATTACAGTTATGAAGTAGAAACAAAAATAATTTTATGGCTGGAGGTCACCACAACATGAACTATATTAAAGGGTTGTGGCATTAGGAAGGTTGAGAACCACTGATACAGATAAACACTGTGCCTTCAAGCAACAAATATTTTTACTACTTTTAAAGTAGACAACTGCAAACAAATAAAACTAGACAAAATAGTTTAACAAACACCCCTAAACACAGCACTTCACCACTTAACAACTCATGGTCAATCGTGTTTCAACTATATCTCCTCTCCCCCCCACCCCCAATAGTTTTTAGGAACAACTCTCAGAAATCATGATTTCATCAAAAAATTTTTAGAATGCATCTATAAAAGGTAAGGATTCTTTAAAAAAAAATATATATATATATATATATATATGTATATAACATAAATGCTATCACATCAATACAAAGCAAAACAAAAAAACCCATTACTTCCTTAAAATCAAATATGAAGTCAATTCCAATATTTTTAGGTTGATTTGGTTTTAAAGCAAGTCCACATGTTTAAAACATCCACCTGATAACCTATTGCCATGGATGCAAGAAAACAATCTCTTCACTAAGAATTTCATGTGGCATTTATATTACTTTGAATAATTTTATTTATGCATTTTTCTTCATGCAATTTAAATATAAATATACTGGGCCCTGGCCGGTAGGGCTCAGCAGTAGAGCATTGGCCCACATACCAAAGGTCATGGGTCTGATTCCCAAGTCAAGGTACCAGGGTTATATCCCTGGTCCTGGTTGAGGTCATGCAGAAGGCGACCAATTGATGTGTCTCTCTCACATTGGTGTTTCTCTCTCTCTCTCCCCATTCCTCCTTCCTTTCTACTCTCTAAAAATATATCCTTGGGTGAGGATTAATAACAACAAAATATACACATATACACACACACATACTGGGAAAGTGCTCTTAGAACATTCTGACGAGAGAAGGGCTGGTAAAAATGTTGGGTCTCACAGATATAGTGCAAAATAAAGGCACTGTTTTTCATTCCCCATTTCACCCCTAGACTCTAAAGCAGGGGTGAGGAACCTTCTTTCTGCCAGGGCCATTTGGATATTATAACATCATTCTCGGGCCGCACAAAATTATCAACCTAAAAATTAGCCTGCTATATTTTTGGTCAGGCTAATTTGGTGAGGCATGTGATGTTAGCTGGTATGGATTTCGTGAGCCTTATATGGCCTGCAGGCTGGATGTTCCCCACCCCTGCTCTAAAGGAAAGGAAAGTGACTTATAGACACAGTTAACAAAGTCCAGAAGCCATAACTTAAAGGACTTATGAAGAACATTCAAGGTAAAACAGCAGTGCCTAGAAGAAGAAAAAATTATAGCAGCATGACATTACTTATGCACTTTATTTTACCATAATCCTTTGTTTCTTTTCTTCTAATGAGCATTGGAATTTGGTTAGTTGAACAGATAACTGTAGCCAACGGTAAAGCTGTGTAAGGTACGCCACAGACAGTGTCAAAATTGATCCTGGCATTTTGGGCAGTTTGAAATAAAAGTTCTGCAACCTGTAAAAAAAACAAAAAACAAACATATAAACTACTATTATTATATTTTAAATTATGTATAAATAAGGTAATAGAACTTCAAAGACAGTCATAGAACCTAGTAGGAAATAACCTCAAACCTGATTAGAAAACTACAAATGCCTTTTTGTTAAATCACCCTCTGCATAAACCCATTTGAAAACACAACAATAAATCTACTGGCCTAGACTCAGAGTCTGCTCTGAGGGCAATACAGGATGTGTAAGGGAAGGTTATGATGCTGACCCCAAAGACTAAGGATGGCTCCCAGGGTTCCCAGTTTCCCTTGGTAATCCATTATGCTTTCAGTATCTAAACGTTTATATTACCGACTAGTTATATTTTCTTCCTCAAAGAAAGTCTTCAGTTATGAAGTTTCATTATAGAAATGAAGAAAACAATCCCATTTATAATTGCATCAAAATAAATAAAATACCTAGGAACAAATTTAACCAAGGAGGTCAAAGACCTGTATACTGAAAATTATAAGGCAATGAAGAAAAGAAACTGAAAACACAAATAACTGAAAAGATATTCCATGCTCATGGATTGGAAGAATTAATATTATTAGAATAATCATACTACCAAAACAATCTATATATTCAATTCATTCCCTGTTAAACTTCCAATGGCAAGGGGCAAAGTCAACATGGCAGAGTAGAGGCCCTGGCTGGGTAGCTCAGTTGGTTAGAGCATTGTCCTGATATGCCAAGATTATGGGTTTGATCCCCAGTCAGGCCACATAAAACAACCAATAAATGTAGGAATAAGTTGAACAACAAATCAATGTCTGTCTGTCTTTCTCTCTCTTCCCTTCTTCTCTCTCTCTATAATAAAAATGGGCAAAGGACCTGAATAGACACTTCTCCAAAGAGGGCATACAGATGGCCAAGAGACATATAAAAAAATGCTCAAAGTCACTAATCACCAGAGAAATGCAAATTAAAATGACAGAGGTTATCACATCAACAAATCAACAAACAAGTGCTGGCGAGGATGTGGAGAAAAGGGGTCTCTAGTACACTGCTGCAGCCACTATGGAAAACAATATGGTGTTTCCTCAAAAAATTAAAAATGGAACTGCCATTTGACTTAGTGATCCCACTTCTAGAAATATATCCTAAGAATCCTGAAACACCAATCACAAAGAATATTTTCACCCCTATGTCCATAGCTATTTACAATAGCTAAGATCTGGAAACAGCCTAAGGGCCCATTAGTAGGTAAGTGGATAAAAAAGCTGTGGTACAGCCTTGGCCGGTTTGGCGTGGTGGTTAGAGTGTCTTCCCACAGACCAAAGAGTCACAGGTTCAATTCCAGTCAATGGCATGTACCTTAGTTGTTGTTTGTCCCCGGCCCTGGTCAGGGTCATGTGGGAGGGCAACCAGTTAACATGTCTCTCTCACATTGATGTTTCTCTCTCCCTCCCTCCCACTCTATCTGAAGATAAATGGAAAAATGTCCTCGGGTGAGGATTAAAAAAAAACAAACAGTGGCATATTTACACAATGGAATACTATGTAGCTATAAAAAAGGATCTCTCACCCTTTGAGACAACACTGAGGGACCTGCAGAGTATTACGCTAAGTGAAATAAGCCAGTCAGAGAAGGACAAGTACCACATGGTCTCACTTATATGTGGAATGTAACATACAAAATAAACTGATAAACAGAATTGATGCAGAGACGTGGAAGTATGGAACAGAATGACGATTCTCAGAGGGGAGGGCAAAGGTGGGAAGAGATTAACCAAATAACTTGCATGCATATATGCATAACCTATGGACACAGACAATCGTGTGGTGAAGTACTGGGAGTTGGCAACCCCATTGTTGCCAACTCCCAGTACTTCACCACACGATTGTCTGTGTCCATAGGTTATGCATATATGCATGCAAGTTATTTGGTGGAGGAGGTCAATGGGGGGAAAAAGTGGGCCATCTGTAATACTTTCAACAATAAAGATAAATTTTAAAAATTAATAAAGGCCTTCAAGAAAATGGAAAAATATAGAAGGGGAAAAAAATCAGTAATAAAAGAAAAAAGATGGCAGAGTAGGTAAACCCTGGACTCACCTTCTCCCATGAACATAAAAACTAAATTACAAAACCACCACCACTGAGAACCACCTAAAGACTAGCTAAACAGAACTCCTAAAACTAAGGATTTAAAGAAGAAACCACATTGAGACAGGTAGGAAGGGTGGAAACACAGACGGGGCAGGTCCTACACCCACAGTGTAAAGATTAATAAACGGGGGATAGCTAGGCTATGGAGGTCCCCTCAGAGGAGTACCCATAACATCTGGCTTTGAGAACTAGCAGAGATTATGTCCCAGAGAGAGAAAGGGTTATGGGAGACTGACATACTGTTCTTAAAGGTCTCAAGTACGAACATATTTACTCCAAGTTCTAGTACAGAGGTAGCAGCTTAAGAAGGACCTGAGTCATATGGGGAAGGAATTCAACTGACTAACTTTAGGATGAGTGCTGGAGGAGCAGGGACTGGGAGAGCAATCAGGGGATGGACATGCTGTCAAGCACCACTCTTCCTTTGCTCAGCTCTTCTCACCCCCAGCTGGCCTGGCATGGGCAGGTACAAAATATGCCACTCTTTATTAACCTAATAATAATCACCCTTCCCTGGCATCTCCCTGAGACCCTGCCCTATTCAACCTGTTCACCTAGCTGGAGCTTCTTTCAAAGCAGCCTCCCAAGGCCTGCACTGCTGACTCTCCCAAAGGTCCACAAACCCTACAAGTAGCAAGCACCCTCAGCTTGCATTGTAGCTCCTGCCAAGTGGCCCCAAGTCTGGCATAAGTGATGGCTCGGCGTGGCTTGCAACATGGCGCCAACTGGGCTGCCCCACACCTGGCACAAGTGGCAGCTGGCCAGTGCTCATATCTTAGCTCCCATCAATCTGTCCCAACCCCAGAAAAAGTGGTAGCCAGCCTTGGTTATCTTCTTAGCTTCTCCCAAGTACTTCCAAGGCCAGCACACAAAAACTGATGAAATGTGCAAGTACTGGAGCCTCTCCCAAGCAGCTTCACAACCAACACACTTGGGGGATGGCCTTGCCTGGCACCAGAGCCTTGCTAAAGTGACTTCCACTCCCTGGGGTCAGCCCTTGCACAACAGCTGGCCACTGTAGTCAAAACAGGCCCTCACAGCCAGTAAGCCTGAGGGTCAACCCCATTCACTAACATGCTAGCTATAATCGAGGCTCAGCTATAACAGGAAGGCACACACAATCCACAGAAGGAACACCCCTGGAGCATCTGGCTCAGGTGACCAAGGGAAACTATGCACTGGCCCCATAGGATGCCTTATATATAAAGACCAGTAGATGTAGTGGATCTACCAAATACATATACAAACAAACACAGAGAGTCAGCCAAACCAAAGAGACAAAGAAACATGTCCCAAAAGTAAGAACAAACAAAACTCCATCAAAAGAACTAAAAGAAATGGAGATGAGAAATCTAACAAATAAACACATCAAAACATTGGTAATAAAGATGCTCAATGAACTCAGGAGAATAGAAGAACTCAATGAGACTTCAAAAAAGAGATCTAGAATATAAAAAAAAGAACCAATCAGAAATAAATACAATAACTAAACTTAAAAAAAAAAAAAAAAATCACTAGAGGAACTCAACATCAAATTAAATGAAGTAGAAGATAGAATAAGTGATCTGGAAGACAAGGTAGCAAAATGCACCTGGTTGAAATAGCCAAAATAATTTTTTAAAATGAGGATAGTTAAGGGATCTCTGAGACATCATCTAGAGTATCAACATTTGCATCACTGGGGCCCCAGGGTATGAGAGAAAGGGACAAAAAAAACCTATTGGAAGAAATAATGACTGAAAACATCGCTAATCTGGCAAAGGAAACAGACATACAAGTCAGGAAGCACAGAGAGTCCCAAACAAGATGAATTTGGAGAGGCCCACACCAAGAAACATCATAATTAAAATGCCAAAAGTTAAAGACAGAGAATCTTAAAAACTATAAGCTTATTTCTCAAAAGAAACATTGCAGGTCAAAATGGATTGCCATGAAATATTTGAAAGTGACGAAAAGCAAAGACATACAAACAAGTTTACTCTACCTAGTGAGGCAATCATCTAGAATCAAAGAAGGGAGAGAGATTTGCCTAGACAAGAAAAATCTAAAGTGGTTCATCACCACCAAACCAGTATTACCAGAAATGTTAAAGGACTTCTTTAATTTATTTTTTTAAAGTATGTTTTTCTAAATTTTTACAGAGAGAGAGAGAAAAGAAGAGAGAGAGAGATCGAAACATCAATGAGAGAGAAACATCAATTGGCTGCCTCCTGCACGCCCCCCAGTGGGGATCAAGCCCACAACCCGAGCTTGTGCCCTGACTGGGAATTGAACTGAGACCTCTTAGTCCATGGGACAATGCTCAATACACTTAGCCACACCAGCCAGGCTAAAAGGACTTCTTTAAATAAATAAGATTTAAAAATGTGAATAAGAAAAATTCTCAATGACAAATGTAAACAATTAGCGAAAGCAGTGGATGAACCAACTATAAAGCTATTACGAAAGTTAGAAGATAAATGTAGGAAGATCATGTGCAATTACAACATTAAATTAAGGGACATATACAAACACACACACAAAAGTAAAAATAATGACAAAAGCCCTGGAAAATTTGGCTCAGCAGTTAGAGCGTCGGCCTGCAGACCAGAGAGTCCTGGGTTCGGTTCCCACCAGGGTCACGGACCTCAGTTGCAGTTTGTCCCCAGTCCAGTTGGGGTCATGTGGGTGGCAACCACTCAATGTGTCCCTCTCACATTGATGTTTCTCTCGCTCTTCCTCCCTCTCTCCCTCTTGCTCTATCTAAACATAAATGCAAAAATGTCCTTAGGTGAGGATTAAAAAAATATATAATAACAGCCCTGGCCAGTTTGGCTTAGCAGTTGAACATGGGCCTGCGGACCAGAGAGTTCC